ACATACATACATACATACATACGGAAGTATACGTACGTATGCAAGCGTTGCCGGGACTGAATGCTGAAAGCCCTGTGCATGTCACAAACTGCCTGTTAGTAGTGCCACTTTAGACCTTCTGCTTCGATATGGGCATGCCCGCCGAAGACGGCGAAGAAGTCCATGAGGAGCTCATTCGGACCTTGGATGAGTTCCCGGCAGCTTCGCTTGATTTCAGCGAGCGGTACATACCTCTCAACAACTGACAGCGGCGAGGCAGCAGTTGCTGTTGACTATAAGACGGGTGCCCATTGCTTAGTTTTCATGCTCGAGGCATTGTTCTGGCCGGACTTTTGGCCTGCCCCAAGGACGGGTGTTCCAAGCTTGGTGCACACAGTTGCTGCAGCAGGCAGAATGCCAGAGCAGCACATATTCAGTCTTTACAAAGAACCCGGCTTTCCAGTGAGTCTTGTCTCCCAGGACGGGGTTGTGGTCGTCCTTCTCGACGACAAAGTCCCAGGATTCGTGCTAGGTGCAGATATGGCGAATACTTTGAAAGGTTAGAAATCGTTGAAGAATGCTGTTGTTCCTTGCGGGCCACGTTGTTTGTTGCAGATCTTTTGGAGCACTGTGCTCTCTGCATGATCGAAGCCTGGAGGAGAGTGGCCAGCTGATGCTGAGGAAGACAGCCGAGGCTCTATGCTGTAGCTACCTTTCATGTCACTGGTGTGTGTGTGTGTGTTGGTTTTTGGAAACGGATGGTGGGCAGGAGCAGGTAGACCTGCAAAACCAGGCATGATCTACAGATAGATAGATAGATACTAGTAGATACACAGACAGACAGATTGACACATAACCAGAAAGGCAGACGGACAGATAGATAGACTGGCAGGCAGCAGGCAGGCGGGCAGGCAGACAGACGGAGATGGATCAGATTTAATCAGGAAGATCTACGCGGCAGCTTCTGTGCAAAAAATGAGCACCACCTCCCTTGGTAGGCACGTCTTACTTCTAGACCAGTCTCTCAGTCGATAGGTCCAGGAGGCCTTGCTGCTAGCGGCGCTGCTGGCTGTGCGCCTGGACATCTTTATGGAGGCTCCTCGTTGTCTTTGGCAGAAGCCCCTGAAGTTCCGGCTCGAGTTCACAGTGCTGTACCAGGCCATCTATGGGGAGCAAGGCCAATTGATGTGCGGCTATGGCGACAAGGCTGAGCTGAGACCTGTCATCGGCCTGGCGATGGCATTCGCAAGTTTGGCAAGCTTGATCTGTCCTACTTGTAGCTGTTCCTGCCGTAGACTTCAACATGTAAATCCACTTCTGCAGGATGTCTACCAGCTGGCCTTCCGGCTTTTGGGGGTGAAGTTCCACATGGTGGACAGGAGCTCAGGTACTGCTTGGCTGATGCTTCTTGTTTCTGAATGCTGCGATGTGATCCACGGGCCCAGACGATAGTCTTCAGATTCTAAGTAGACGATGTTTCTCCAGTACTTGATATTCTGGCTGTGACTGGAATTTGACGAAACTCTAGGTGATGTTTTTTTAGCGGTGGCATCGTACGACTTGTCGTGCTGCTGAGTCACGACAGAGTATAAGACTCACGTCTTCCATCTGTTCCCTGGCGTTTCTCCTGGCTATTTACTGCGGCAAGCCGGCTTGCCCTCTGTGGCGGCCACGTTTGCAACAAGGTGGACAGACTGGCAAGGAACTGATGCCCAAGTGCGATTATTTTTCATTTGCAATGTTCGAGTGAGGGAAGATGTGAGAAACGCAGTCGAGAGCTCACACAGGCCGAAATAGCCATAGAGGCGTCGTGTTTCACATCGTCTTGGATGATAGCTTGCCTTGATCTTCAATGTCACCAAGGTGTACATTCGAGACAAGACCACGAGAGACATGCAATGCATTGCCCGCCTTGTTGACATCTGCGGGGGGTCGACGTACCAGAGCCGCTCCCGAAACTTTCGGGAGCGACTCTGGTACGTAGCCTCTTACGGCTCCAAGGCGGCTAAAGTAAAATGCTCTCCGTGTCACGAACGAATGCTTAGTCGGCCGCTTTGCTCAACGAGCCGGTCAGAGCATCTCTCTCCTCTCCTCTGTGTTTTCACGCAACCGAGGGTGGAGAAGCAGCAACGCAGGAAGTTGCAGATGCATGCTTGGGTGTTGGCTTCCAGCAACCCGCGTTGCCAGCAAATCAAGCTTTCGCAAGTTCTCTAGACTTCATAGCTCCTGCCACATGAAAATATCGCATGCTCCTCCAGAATGTACCAATCTCTTATATCCATATATATCCATTGTTCAGCGATTAGTGCGAGACTTGTTATCTACCGTCCCTCTCCAGGGCTCCTCCGGCCCCAGTGTGCTTGTCACAACTGGGGGGGACTACGCTGGGCTGGTGCAGCTCTAGACTCAGCCGGGGACCGTTGCAGGATGCCTGAGCAAGCGTTCCGAGCATCGGGAGCTGATGTGACGGTGGATCCAGTGCTTCCTTTCGTCCTCCCCGAGGCTGGATGACGACAGGCAGTCTCTCTTCGCCCACGGGCGCCGCACCCATGCAGTCACGGCATGCGTAGTCATCACTGGCGGCAGTGAGCCCCAAGGTCCAAGGCCAAGGAAAGGCTGTGGCAGCTTCTTCAGGCCTCTTTGCATGATATGAGATGATGGTACTCAAGACAGCCAAGACAACGAAGTAGCGATCCTGCCCGGCTATGTGACAGGCCGATGCCTTGCAGCGATGCGATCTACAGGAAGATAAGGCTGCTGACCTTGCTGCTCTCACGCACTTTCGGCTGGCGCAGGAAGCTTATATACCCATGCACGGTTGTCAGTTCATGATGGCTTTGTTTGAATGCTTCATCTGGTTGCCTTCTTACAATGCTATTTTAGTCCCAATTGTCGCAGCCTTAGAGCCTGGCATGCACGTGGCGAGGCCGGCGAAGAACACAAGCCTTATGAACCTTGCCCCTTCGAATACCTGCTGCGAGACCCCGCAAAGTAAGCCTCAGCTTTTCCAAGATCGCAGAAGCCCCACCATCCTCTGTCCTCTCGCAGTCTGTTAGCTGCTGGTTGGCCCTCCTCCTGCCTTCGAATCCTGCCGCAGGCGAACAACCTCTCTTGCACAGCCACACGGGGAGCCGGGTCGCCGCGTGCCCAGAGCAAGGCCCATGAAGTTGAGGCTTTGGTTAGGGTCAGTTTGGTCAACTTCGCTCGTCAGTGACTCGTCAGCCCGGTCGGATCATCCGAGGTGTTCCTTTCTTGTAGGCTCGAGGCTTGTTTAGGTTGCTCCAGCCGTCAGAAAAGACCTGTTGCCACCGATTGGACCTCTTGTGACTTCGCCACCTTCTGGCACCATGGCAATAGCAGAGCCCGCCCTTCATTCCATCTGCCGAGGCTTTCCATTCCCTTTGATGCGCTCCGGCGGGGCTCTTTTGTAGGGTTCAGCTTGCTGTCCGACTCAAAGCAAAATACACAGACATGTGGATTGGTCATGCAATGCATGTCGCGAGCCGTGTGCGGATTTTCCTGCAAATCCTGGATGCTGTCGTCTTCCGCAGGTGCACGCCTCTTACCTTCCCCGGCCAGGATCGCTTGAGGCAGATGTTGACAAATGTCCGACTGGCTTGTGCATGGCGTGAAGCTGGGCGTCGGCCACACAGCTCGGCGACTGCACATTGCCATCGGTCCGAGATAGAGATGCAACCGCCCAAGGTAGCTCTAGACCAAGCATGACTTAAACCTCAACTCGCAGGAGGCCGTTTGAGGCCTCCCAACATGTCCACAGCTTGAGCGAGACGGCATGCACCAAGACTCTGCTCGGAAGCATCAGCAGCATGATGAACAGACAACCTAGTGCCGTGGTTTTAACCAGCCGCCCGCGATTTGGAGCTTCGGCGGCTGGCCACTGAGGGAAGCATGGTGGCCTCGCTGCATTAACAAGATTCGTTGCAGATGGCTCATGCTGCATCCAGGTTCAGTTTTCATGTACCCGAATTAGCCACTCGTTGGATTGAACCGCCTGAAATGATGTGGAATGGACATTGTACAAGGTTGTACACTTGATCGCGCTTGTTGGTATATGTACAGACATACACACACACACACACACCCGTACACGGTAGTGACCTGATGATACAAGCACATGTATTAAGGTTCAATCGCGAGGCACATGCACGCATACACACGTACGTACGTACATACATACATAACATACACATACACATGTACACACATACACACATACACACATGCACACATATACACATACATACATACATACATACATACATACATTCATAGATACATACATACATACATACATACATACATACATACACACAGAGACATACATACACATACATACACATACATGCACATTCGTACACATACATACACATACATACACATACATCACATACACACACACATACATACACATAATATATACATATACATATACGTATACGTATACATGGACATATACATATATGTACATACATACACACATACACACACACACAGAGACATACATACACATACAGACACATATATGCACATTCGTACTCATACATACACATACATACACATACATACATACATACGTACGTACGTACGTACATACATACATACATACACACATGCATGCATAAATACATACCATACCATGCCATGCCATACCATACCATACCATAAAC